TCTTGCAATTTTTGAGCATAAGTGAAATATACATTAATTAAAGAATTTAATAAGGAGTTGGTGGTATAATAATTCAAAAATAGATGATAAAAAAAAAGAAAATATTTAAAATTTCAGTCAAATTACTTTATTCTGAACAGATTTGTCACTGTTTGAAGTTTGGACTAGAAATAGGCTTTAAATGTCTCCGCGCCGTCTCTGAGAATTGCCAATCGTTTGATTGACAGACGATAACTCCACCCACATATTCTCGATTATCACGTAACATGCCTAAGGTAACCTCGATTGACAGGCTTTCATCAGCAGTCTCCGGTAGTGACGTCCGTGACTAATGGTAAACGTTAGCTGGTCAGCCATTTATTGATTTAGTTTTAAATGGACGGCTGTTTACATCTAAGCTGTATCCAAGCCATCCGAGGGTCTACAGTGTTGATTTTGAGCTTGTCATGTACATAAAGGTCTAATTGATTATTTCTATAATATCTGAAGCCTAAACAAAGACTTACAATAGGCAGATTTGGCTCTCAACGAATGTATCTTTAAGTTATCAGCCGTTAAACAGTGAGTATTATTCGTGAACATCGTCAATACTGATATACATGTTTTAATACTTAGAATCATCCGATTATTGCGACTTACATAGAAACATTGCGAGTAGACAGTCCGCTTAAAGATGCATTCTGTAAGAACTAAATCTGTTTTTATTTTGGCTTCAGATGTTATATAAACTATTATTTATTCACATGACAAGCCAATAATCAACTGGCTCAGATGTAACGGATTTCAGTAAAAACACCAGTTAATGATTTAATTTAAAAATGGACAAACGAAGCTGAGTCTCGATTAACTTCTAACAGTGATAACATCGGTCAGAATAAAGTAATCTGAATGAAATTGTCAATATATTCATTTTTGCATTATCTTTTTTTTAAACTATTATAGCGAAAACGAGCAGCTCTACTTGTAAATCTTACATAATGCATCTTTAAGATTTGGAAGAATTAGTTGGACACGGCTTTCTACATCACGAATAGAAATAAAAAATTCACAGCACTACGACCTATTCGTATTTCGAATTCCAACTGTCAAGGAATCTTTTATGTACTTTCAACCTCCAGGCTAGCGAGCCAGCGCCTTACTCACTGGATCACCGCTAGTTTTTTTACCGCTTTATTATTTTGAACACGTGTCCAGAACATTGCAACCTTTGTCTTAAAAACGGGAGCCACGGTGGCTAAGTGGGTAAGACGCTGCCTCGCAAGCCTGGAGGTCGGGTGTTCGATCCCTGCATTGGCCGAGAAAGTTCATCCAGATTTTCCGGCGTGGTTTCCCTTTGTCAGTGATGTAGGGCGGAGGGCCTGACAAGGACAGCTGTCTAGTCTTTCGGGTGGGACGAAAAACTGAGGTCCCGTGTATAAATTGGCGTGCATGTAAAAGATCCCTTGGCAGTTGGAATTCAATATAAGAGTAGGTCATAGTGCCGCTGCCCGTTAAAAAATTCCCTCATAGCACACTGTATGGCGTATGCCCGGTTTCATTAGCCCAGTCGGAGCAGAACAGTAGTCCATAGTGCCGCAGCCCGGGCAAAATTCCATCCATAGCACACTATCTGGCGTATGCTCGTCTTCATTAGCCCAGTCGAAGCAGAACAGTAGGATGTTAAACCCCATTTCATTGTCTTAAAAACAACATGTAGGTATGAGTAAGACACTTAAAGATCAAAGAACTTATATAGGCTTTGCCTGTTGTTCAATCCTTTTCAAATGAATAAAATATTGTTTAAACTAAACTAAAATTCATACATACTTAAAATCCATGGTTCGCCATTTGTCTCTGATGACACCTGAATCTATAGCCACACCCAAAAACATTTCACTAATATTCTGGACAGCCGGTGCTGACATAATATCAATATCCATGCCATTTACAATCTGTAGACATGCCAACACCAACAGGGCGCCCCACATAGCCATCTCGAATCTTTGACAAATTTAATGACAAAAGAAAAAAGGTTTTATACAAATCTTATCAATTTGTGATCCAGATTATTTGATGACCTCGTGGGGATTATATATGTATATATAAATATCTGCTATGGCCTATATAGTGTCTAATATACACAAGTAGTCAACATTAAAGGATACATTATACGTTTAGAGGTTAAAGAAGATCTAATATTTTTTAAATTTAATTTATATTAAAGAAAATGAAATGCCTTAGCTTTCTGCGCCTAAGGCAATACGCTTCCGTTGTGTTATGTGGGATATTTTGCTCTGAAAGTGGTTCCACTTTTATTTCGATTTTTGACTGTCAGGGTATCTTTATTGACAAGGGGAAACAAAGCTGGGAAATTTTGAAGACATGTTTCGGTTAACACGGAACCTTCCGATGATTAAAGTACAATATTAGTGTCAGTCATTGTCACATAATGTGACATCCTCGGTTACCCAGTGTACTCATTTCGTTCTACTCCACTATACCCTGGGTTAATCCATAGGGTTTCCACGATTTCAAATTATCTGCCCTGGCCTAAAATGTAGCTACAGTCTACGAACCAATCATAAAACAGTTTACAAACCAATCGTTTCGCCTTCGTGTTTATAAGGGTAGATAACCATATTCATGTCCATTTACTAAAAATTTATGTAAATAATGTATATATTTATAATTCATTTATATATATTTAATTGTATTATCAAAATTTGTAGTATGTTTCACTGATTGCAAATATGTATAACATCTGTATGTTTGACCTTTGTTATTATTATTACTATTTGTTCTTTGTCTGAAATATGTCATTCCGCTATGTTTATTATTATTGAACTTATACTTGGCAATTTGATTCACATTAACTTGTCTACGATATCACGTGGACATAAAATTCCGGGAACGAACGAACGAACGAACGATTCTAAATAACACTGATGACCCTAAATTATTATATAAACGTCTGGTCTTCATTAACATAATATATAATTGGTTGTTAATAATTACGCATTTAGAATAGGCCAACTCCTAACATTGTCCGATGAGAGTTACTTACCTTTGCCAACTTCCTTTTCAAATAACAATTTATGGGATTGGTCGATAAAAATAGCACAATCATCAAGGGCGGATAACTTGAAAACGTGTCTCCCCCATAGATTAACCCAGGGTATAGTGGAGTAGAACGGAATGAGTACACTGGGTAACCGAGGATGATAATGTGATAGAGGTTAGAACTGGTTCAACACTTTCCAAGTAATATTTTAACACTGAGATCATTGCTGATATGTGATAATAACTGACACCAATATTGCCCTTTAAGCAAACGCCGTATTCACTGAGACGATGTGGCCCTCGTTTAATTAATTAAAGTAAAGTTTGTCATCTGGTCAGACATAATTATAACCATTTCCAATACCGAGACCCGGTACGGAAAACCATCAGCTAGCTACCATATTGTTTTCGAAACCTTTATAACCTTTGCAAATGTTATGTGTGAAATAGCATTCTGTAACGTCTGCTTCCACTAAAATGATATTGCAGACAAACGTTATGTCAATCTACCCACTTTATAATCTTATTCAAATATCACTGAAATAGAATCTGGTCGACGCCGCCATTAAACATTGCAGCAGGTGTGACAAAGTGCTCCATAACTTTCATCAACTTGAACTATTTTTAGGTGCATATACTTCTGCTAGTCACGAACTGGTGGTGTTCTAATTAAAAATGTAATCAATCCCTTATGACATATACAAGCTACATATGATCTGTGTACAACCTCGGCATAACTTCAAGGGAAATACGCAGTGGTCAAATAATCTTACCATGGCATGATAATAAACAATTCCATATATGATTATGACTCTTATCTATTTTACCTATTGTCGGAGGCTATATAACCAGGAGTTTGCGAGCAGTTAGATCAGCTGGATCAAGCCTATTTTTGTGGCTTGATCTTAGGAAACACTTGTCTACGATATCATCCTTCGTAGAAGTGGACGTAAAACTCCAGGAACGGCAGTTAGACGGGTGGAGTGTTCTACAAATTATATTCTAAAACAATTTTTTAAAATTATTAACGGAAAAAAGTTGTTGGAAGTAGTCTGAATGGGTAATTTCTTAATTTATAGTGTAAATGGGTACATAAAATATTGGTACGGGCGGTGTAAAATGAGTAAAGGCGGCAGGACTAGTTCGTATTACTAAGTCCCATGTAAACAACGTACGTGTTATCCACACCATACATGACGTCACACATAGAACTAATCAGGGCCTGGCCTTAAAGGTCAGTCATCTAGTGTTAAAAGAAGGCTTTTACATTACCGCTATGAAACAGTTTGGGCATGACTAAGAAAAACTATTTTTAAAAAAAATCATTTATTAAGTTTTTATCGCATAATAAAATAAAACCCTCATATCTATAATATATGCATGAAAATAACCACAATATGAACAATATACTTATAAACAATTACTGGCGAGTGAAGAACTAATAGACTTATTATAATAAATAAATTATCAAAATGAAAATTAATATCTAATAAATACCATTTTTTTTTATATAAAACAACCCCACATATTATCTATAATAACCAAAAATATAATTATAATAATTAGTTCTGTATTGTTTAATGGTCGAAAGCGAGACATTATAAGTAATATATTGTAACAACAAAAGGGCCGTAGGACCGAGTGTTTTTACCCTATATTACGCAATGTTTTAAGCTTGAGACCATTAAACGACTTAAAATACAGACACTCCGCACGTGCTTTTACAGTGAAATACATCACGTGAGTCCAATATTTCACTAGTATAAATAATGTACGATTGGCAAGTTGCCTGTACGATTATTTGAAATAATTACCAGGTACCATGGCAATAGATTATAAATAATATCAGCTAAAAATGCAACAAAAGGTTTTTAACAAATATCTAGTAAAAATGTACCAAAAGGTTTTTAAATGTATAATACATAATGCAACATTTCTTACTCTGGCTTTTAAGAGAGAGAGAGAGAGAGAGAGAAATGGGGTTTAACGTCCACTCGACACAAACTAGGTCATTTCGGGACTAACATGGTTTTAATTTTATTTCAATAATTCGCTTGCGCGTAGGGGTATTTAGCAGTGGGAGGAAACCGGAGGACCCGGAGAAAACCCACGAGGTTGGACAGGCGACCCTACTCCTTGTCACTTACAACCGGGGAATCAAAACCACGCCAGTTGACTCAATGACAGACTTTATGAAACAGCTCGCACAAGCTAACCATTCAGCCGTCCACAAACACACACCCCCCCCCCACCCGTCTTATAAGGGTAGAATCTGATAAAAATTCAATACAAATTTATAATATAAAGAGCTAGGTGAAATGATTTTCAAGAGATGAGTTATGTAATCTGGCTACACCTATATACCAGTGTAACCATATACAAACGTGTATACATGTATTCTGTTAGTTACATAAATACTATGTAACCATAGACAATAGCAACAATAGACAATTTAAATCACAGTGTTACTATCACGGTTAAATGCATAGGAATATTGAACAACAGTGCAAGTATTAACCCATTAACTTATTCTACTTGATTTGAGGATATTCTAACACAAACCCCAGTTAGTAAATACTCAGAGATCAGTTCTACACACTATGCATCTTACCGTTGTATTTTGTCCATCTCGGTACAATGACATTATTACTGAAACCACAGATGAGGTTGCGTGAACCATGATTTGCACCTCGATTTTTTCCCAGTTGAAAATAATTTAAAACTAAATAAATGCATAAATAATATTCTAAAAATGTAAATGTCCCCTCATAATAAAAACATATTCATTGATTGCCATTCATAATTTTCAGAGACGATAGGTCCAATTTGATAGCCTATCAAAATATCAACATAACATAATATTCTAGCTGGGATTTAATAAGGTTAAACAAGGGAGAGAGAAATGAAGCTTAACATCAATGACACAAACAAGGTCATTTCGGGACTAACATATGGTTCACATTTTATTTCGATAATTCACTTGCGCGTATGTGTCTTTAGCAGTGGGAGGAAACCAGAGGTCTTTGGGGGGAAAAACCCACGAGGTTGGACAGGCAACCTTACTCCTTGTCAAGTACAACCGATGAATCAAAATCACGCCAGGTGATTCAATGACAGACCTTATGATACAACATTCAAGCCCTAATCCTTTGTCCATTCAACCCCCAGGGTTAAACAAAGGCCCATTAAAACATACACACCAGTTATATGTGGCGCGGGGGCCATGGTGGCTAAGTGGGTAGGAAGCTAGCTCGCTAGCTTGGAGGTCGTGTTCAAACCCTGCATTGGCCGAGAAAGTTCATCCAGATTTTTTACAGCGTGATTTTCCCTAGTTAGTGATGCAGGACAGAGGGCCTGACAAGGACAGCTGTCTAGTCGTTCGGATGGGACAAAAAACCGAGGTCCCGTGTACATTTTGACGTGCATGTTAAAGATCCCTTAGCAGTTGGAATTTGATATAAGTGTAGGTCATAGCGCCGTTGCCCATGAAAAATTTCCCTCATATCACACTGTATGGCGTACGCCCGTCTTCCTTAGCCCAGTTCAGAGCAGAACAGTAGGACGTTAAACCCCATTTCATTTCTTTTCTTATATGTACCGCTGGATCATTTATATCGTCTACTGAGGATGAAGAATGTTGCGAAATTTTTAGTTCATCATAGTTTTTTAAATATAATTGGAATTGAACAATTTTCATTCGACAAACCTCGACAGACTCTGGTACAGCTACATCTAACCTTGGCTGTATGACGGTAAGTGATATGTAGTTACACCCATAGAATTGTGATGCGGCTACCGTTTTACTTATTAGGAAAACTTGCTGCTTTCAGAAAGTAGTTCACAAAATTCCATTGTCCGGATAAACTTGAAAGAAAAACAGCTGCAGACATCGAAAGCTTTGTATGATGTATACATTTTCTTGAGATAAAACACTCTTCACAGGCATCTTCATGGGCGCCGCCATTTTTAATCCCTTGGTAGTTGGAATTCGATATAAGAGGAGGCCATGGTACCACTGCCCGGCCCAATTTCCCTCATTGCACACGGTATGGTGTATGCCCATCTTCATTAGCCCAGTCTGAGCAGAACAGTAGGACGTTAAACTCCATTTCATTTCAGTTCGACATTGAGGTTAAATGTAGGGTACCGCAGACGACCGAAGTGTGCCGAATGAAACCATTTTATGATTGATATTTCCCTAATTCAAAATCCCTCTAATGATGCTCAGCAGATTTATAAAGTTGACCTCAGGATTGATATGTATTCAACCATTTATATTTTTAAAGGTCACCAGAAAAGCTTCATAAATTTTTTAAATAATGCAAGTAATTATGTCAACATATCCTTTCCATAAGTCAGTTTTTCTTAACCAGTGTGCCGCGAAATTTTGAACGGCACTCTAAGAAAATGTGAAAACCCATGTGATCCCAATTGAGTATTCACTGGTGTCTACTGGTATGTTCATAGCTTTTTGTTCTTTATTTAGTTTGAGTCATTCTATGTGTCTATGACTAGTCTACGGTTATATGCCGTCTATGACTTGCCATGTTTTTATTTTGCAACAATTCAAACATTTTTCATATATATTTAGCCAAGTGTGCCGCTATTTTTTCATGTGTTCCATGGTGTGCCGTTGGCAAAAAAAGGTTGAGAACCACTGCCATAAGTATAACATGATCCCAAATGTCAATGTTACCTGCTACATAATTCCTTGCATTATTTAAAAAATTTATAAAGCTTTTTCGATGACCTTTAAACATAGGCCTATCTATAAACAATCGTGTTTCCTGGCCCCAGGAATAACAATAAACATAGGTCTATCTATAAACAATCGTGTTTCCTGGCCCCAGGAATAACAATAAAACCCATATTGTAGCCTTGTAGTAGAACATTTCCTTCTTGAATCTTTGGTTTTAATGTTGGAAGTTCCTCATCATTAGGCAACATTAAAACTTCACCATTTAGTTTGACATATCTATAAAATAAAGAAAGAGAAATGTGATACAAAAATAAAAATGGTTGGAATGCCCAAGTTTAGATTTGTCGTTGATTCCATAAAGTAGTTGGGTTTTAGAACGTTAAATACTGTGTGATTCAACATGGCGCTCGAGGGGTTTGATATGATATAGGTACGAAATAATACTAATACCAAGTGGTTTATTTGTATGGCAGTCAAGGTTTGGACTATAATGCCTTGGAAATCGGAAGTAGGAGGCGACTAGTGTGTGTCTCTCTTTTGTGTAACGATGTGAGATTGTCCGTTGTATTAACTGGACGGGTAGGCCTATTCACCTTCGGTTATGTGTCAATGTCAAATAAGCGGCTTCTTATCAACACGATCGGCTTTGGACTGGTTTGATTCTACGTATCTTTCGTAGCTGAGAGAAAAAAGATTTTTTAGCTGAATAGAAATGTGGTTATGAAGGAAAGCAATCTGATTAAAACCCAGATTCTGTTTCGTTTCGTTTTTTATAGTTCAAAATTTCGTTTTACTTGTCTTTACTACACTTGGATCTGGAAGAGTTGTTATATAACCCGCATTCTAGATGATGTGAGGGATTAGTCAATGAAACGGTCTGTTACCGTGAGTGTTTGGCGTGAGGTGCACGTAACTGTTTGTAACCCACTAGAAACATCAACGCTGATAGATTAATCAAATGTCTGACGTCATAGGGTCAAAAGTCGCTTGTATGACCTCTGTCGCGACCCTCCACTACAATGTCTATCTGTGTTAGTATGGAATTAACAGTAACAAAAAAAAAGAACCCTTGGTTACTCCAAGCTCATTTCAGGAATATATTTTTGTCAGTCCTAAGAGGTGTGAAGAGGACCTCAACTTAGGATGAAATAAAACTAGCAGAAAATTTCACATATTTTATTCTGGGATGCGGATGATTAAATTCAAACATCTGTAATTCATTCTACTAGCTAGCATTGGAAGAAATCGGCAACAATACAACAACTTCTGGTTTATTGACTAATTTTGAAGCAGATGCAGATATCTTATCAAATAAAATAACCAGTGGTAGACAGGCAAGATACGCCCACATTTTGCAAGATATGGATAGAGAACAAGCTAAAATATAAAGCAATTATTCGTACAATCAGGGGCTATAATCCAGGTAGTTATGTCTGAAATGCGCAGATTTAGAAATGGACTGAGATATTTGGGATTTAAAAATGTGTTTTAAGTTTCATCAAAATTGGATAAAAATTGTGACTTCTAGAGAGTCCACAACCTTGGTATTACATACTTTTACACTATTTGCATACGAGGGGTGGGGATTTTGTCTGGCAGTTTTGGTCTAATTTTTACAAAATTCGAACTCAACCATCATTAAGGTGTAAGGGTGATATATTCGAAAAAGTTTTTAAATCAGATAATAATTGTGACCTCTAAAGGGACCACAAGTTAAAAACACGATTTTTCGTACAATCAGGGGCAATAATTCAGGCAGATACGATCCGATATGCGCAAATATCGAAGTGAACCAAGATCTTTGGGTTATAAACATGCATTTCAAGTTTCATCAAAATCAGAGTGTTTACAAGCTAAAAACGTGATTTTTCGTACAATCACGGGCCATAATTCATGAAGTTTCGAACAGATACATGCCAATATCGACAGGAACCAGGATTTTTTGGTGATAAACCTATATTTCAAGCTTCATCAAAATTGGATAACAATTGTGACCTGTAGATTGTCCACAATCAAATGTGGGCGTATATAAAAGGTGTTGTACAAATATTTTTTTATGTTGCTGAGCATAGAGACTACACTAGACATAACCTATATTATTTTGCGATTAACAATTATTTTAATAATTTGTGTGCGCATAGGGGTCTTTAGCAGTGGGTGGTAAACCCAAAAACCCGGAGAAAACCAACCAGGTTGGACTCCTTGTCACCTACAAAATGAAAATCGAAACCACACCAGTTGGCTCAATAGACCTAATGATCTAAAGTGCACATGTTAAACCATTCAGTCACGCCACCAGAATAATAAGAATAATACCTACCGTGACGTGAGCCCACTGTCATCACCAGGTGATAATATATATAGATGTCTAGTAGAAACAGGAATACCAGTTATATTAACGGTAATTACATCATTACTTAGATTTATCACATATACTGTTATATCACCTTTACTATAACCCATTGAACTAAAACATACAATATAATATATAATTACATATAACACCTGTAAGGTTGAAGTTAATTCTTCCGAATTGGGGGGAGGGGGGATGAGCACGTATGCTGAAGACATAACATAGGAGATAGGTAATATCGACCTGGCCTTTTTTGGGGGAATAAAATATTGTTTATAAAAATAAGTGATCTGTTTTATTATTTTTTAACTGTCAAAATGTCAAACAGGAAGGAACACTGCATTCGGCTAACCGGTTTTGTCGATAACGGTAACGTTATAGGTGTCGACAAAAATCGACTTGGGTCAACTAAGAGTTAAAGCAGTAAGTCTGGTACCTGCTTGGTTTGTTTAATTCGGCTAACCGGTTTTGTCGATAACGGTAACGCTATAGGTGTGGACAAAAATCGACTTGGTTTATGCAAATTTTTATGAATATAGATACATGTATGACCTACCTATTATTATTAGCACAGTGAGCATAAACTCGTAAATTAGGGTTTGATTCTTGACCTAGACTCAACACTCGGCCTCCAACCAATCGTTTATATAATAAAGTTAACCAGTAATCCTGGAAATAATAGACATAGCATTGTCAGACTACAAATATACACCCACCAGCAGCTTTTACAATGGTATTTATCGACTTTTCTTGGTCAGGGACAATAACTACAAATAAGTTTCTGAAAGGAAAATAAAATGAAACGAAATGGGGTTTAACGTCCTACTGTTCTGCTCCTATACTGGGCTAATGAAGATGGGCATACGCCATACAGTGTGCTAGGAGGGAAATTTTGCCCGGGCAGCGGCACTATGGCCTACTCTTATATCGAATTCCAACAGCCAAGGGATCTTTTTTATGTGCATGCCAATGCATACACAGGGCTTCTGTTTTTCATCCCATCTGAACGACTAGACAGCCGTTCTTGTCAGGCCCTCCATCCTGCACCATTGACAAGGGGAAACCACGTCGGAAAATCACGATAAACTTTCTCGGCCAATGCAGGGATCGAACACGCGACCTCCAGACTAGCCAGCCAGCGTCTTATCCAGCGTCTTGATTAGGTCTTGGAGCTTAAGTTGATTGAGATAATGGCCTACAGTAGTTTAATTACTGATGAAAAAACATTGTTCTTTAAGACTATTTGACAGCCATAGTATTACAACCAACTTACTGGATTAGGATTTAAATCCACATCAATTAGACCGTAACGATTACCATAGAAAGTCTGACGTAGTACACCTTGTAATCCGTGTAGAGCTGATAATCCCAACTTATCTAACCACCTAGTAAAACACAGAGAGAAATGGGGTTTAAAGTCCACTTGACACAAACTACATGTAGGTCATTTCGGGACTAACATATGATTCAATTTTATTTCAATAATGTAGGAGTCTTTAGCAGTGGGAAGAAACCAGAGGAACCGGAGAAAACCCACGAGGTTGGACAGTCGACCCTACTTCTTGTCACGTACAACAAGGGGAATCGAAACCCCACCAGTTGACTCAATGACAGAGGTTTTGATACAGCGCGCACATGCTAACCACTCGCTCATCCAAACCCCCGCCTATTAAAACAAACATATGAATCTGATTTTGTGACATTACACCATTTAAACCAGTGACTATTAAGAATCACTTAATGACAGACCTTATGATACAGCGCACACATGCTAACCACACGCTCATCCAACCCCCCCACCTAGTTAAACAAACGTATGAATCTGATTTTGTGACATTACACCATTTAAACCAGTGATATAAAGAATCATTATCAAACCCTGCTTACATTACATATTTTAAACATGCCAGGCACGGTACCAGGCACAGCAAGGTTAATTTTTTTGTAGTGTAAACGGGTCAAACATAAGCATGCCATACTGAGTACCATGCCAATTTGGATCACTGAAGTGAGGTGGTCTGGGTATGGTGAAAGGCATGGTGAAAGGCACGGTTAAATTTCCGTAGTGTAAACGCTATCTGGTCTTGGCCTTTTTTCCCACAAACTTTGACAGTTCTGTCATCATTTCTGTCACAATGGCTGCCCCAAATAAATCAATACCCATAATTGTCATCATCGAGCCGAGATATCTTTTCACCGTGCGGAGAACAGCATGTTTATCGCAGCCATGTGTAAACCGGGCTATTGTCTTAAATATGGCTCTTGGACTTTGTGACGTTACACCTTTTAAACGGTTGACCTCACAATATCAGGAGACATATTAGGTTCTCAGGACCAATAATTCACTTATTATACTTACAGAAAGCCTGCTACATATCTATCAGATATTCCCAGAGCACCACCGCCATATGCTGAAGACGTTTCACCCAGCCAACATTGTTTACCAGGGGCATTTTGTCGAACAATATTAACGGCTGTTATAATTTCAGGTGTTAACGAATCCAGAATGGTAGGATCGTGAAACTGTTCAACTGTCGCCGTTTTACTGTCCAAATAATAACTGAAATAAAATGAAATGGGGTTTAACGTTTTACTGTTCTGCTCCGAACTGGGCTAATGAAGACGGGCAGACGCCATACAGTGTGCTATGAGGGAAATTTTGCCCGGACAGCGGCACTACAGCCTACTCTTATATTGAATTCCAACTGTCAAGGGACCTTTTACATACACGGCAAATGTGTACACGGGACCTGGGTTTTTCGTCCAATCCGAACGACTAGACAGATAATAATTGAAAAATTGTAGAAATTAAATTAAGATCTCGTAATGATATTGGTTGTGTCAATCTGATTCAAATACAGATCTATATTTCGTTTCGATTTTGGAATTGAGGAATTTTCAAAGCCAATTCTGGGAGCTAACCTGAGACCTCATCTTAAGCGAGTCTGTTTCTTACTCACTGAGCCACTGCAGCTACATCAGTTAATAGAGGAATTCCTACTTACTGATGAAATGTTGCTACGTCAACAGATTTACCACCTCCAGCCGACAAAAATCTACGAAAGAAATAACATTATGCTTAATTATTTTTTAAATCCAACAGATATTAAATAGTTGAAGAGCCTCGGGGAAGAACGATCTAAGTCACTTTTTCAACGAATCTGGTGGCAAATTGTAGAATATGCTTTCTGTGGAACAATCAATTTCAGATAAAAACGATCAGAGTCACATCAAACCAAGGCCTTTTTGAAATGGCCTCCCAGACAAATATGTCCATCGTACTCTATATTTGACCTTAATTTGCCTGAAAAGTTGAAGTCAGTTGTACTGGTAATTATGATTTGCATTAAACATCATTTTGAAGTAGTAATTAAACCCACTCGTTGTTCTGTTCACGTCAAACATTCTCGTCCAAAAGTCTGTTTTGCCTTTTATGCGAAAAGACAAAACTGTGACTTAGATTGGTTTTCCCTTGGACTCTTTCAGTTATGATTCTATAAAATTTGATATGTTTATTTTACATGTATCTATTTCAATTTAATATTTGATTCTTTAAAATTTCTCAACTTTATTTTACTATTCGATTTTGTTGACATTAGTTTATTTCTTGGAACATATATTTAAAACTAATATTGGAAATTAAAGATACATTATGGGAGAATAGATATAGAGTTCGCAGTTCTCACTATAATAGTTAAAAACTAGATTGCTGTAAATTTCAGTTAAATTGATCCACTCTGAACCGAGAATATTTAGCGATTGAATTTTGGGCCTAGCCTCAATCATCATTACTTAAGTCGGTACGATAAAAAACATAGTGTTGATTATCCATTTCATGATTAAATCAAGAATGAAAGTGGAGCAGCAAATGGGATTCTAATCCAGTATATATTGCAGGCTAGCGATGACATCGAGAGTTGTGTATGGTCTGGAGAGGTTAATTAATGTCTAATTAATAATTTAGATAACATTTCAGGCTTAAAGAAAGACCTGCAATTGGTAGATTGAGCTCTTGTATAATGCGTGTTTAAGTAAAGAAACTTCTGAAAGCTAGGAATATTCTGTTATTCAATCAAAAAACTCTTTTCAATTTGTGATTAATATCGGATATAAACAAATACGATCATACCATGGACCAGGGCCCTTATTCACGAAAACTTAAACTAAGATACAATCAAAATTTTAAGAAATACTGCAATTCGATTGGCTGACCAGTAAAATAAATTTGCATATATCCAATTTACTAAAATTTCGGTTGTAACTTAGTTTAAGTTTTCGTGAATAAGGGCCCAGGAACTAACCATGTTGTTGGATGAAATTCAAAAATCTAATTCACCAAATCAATACAGAATTTTCAAAGAACAAACATGCCAATTGTCATGTCGATTGGTTTTGAATTGACTGAACATTACGCTTTTTCGAAGAGCGTCATCCCAAGAACAAGATGAGTAGCAGTTAGTGACCAGTTCCTGGTCCCAAAAAAATAAATATAAAATAACGAAGGGATTTTCTCACAATGTTAGGTATTCTCTTGCTGATTTCCTTTGCACTTGTGTGGTATCTGGCCCAATAATAATCGGGGTTCCAAGCTGTGGAAAACTGTCAAGCATACTTTGAAGGGTTTTAAAATAGGTAGCCATGAGGTCGCCAGGAATACGGAAATGGAAATTGTGGTAGAAGGAATTTGGTTCTGGAAAATACAAGAATAAGGTAATATTCTAAAAGGAGAGATTGAACATTGATTCCGTACAAACCAGGTCGAATTCAAATAACAAAAGGAAACATCTAGGCATAAGAGGTGGGGTGGTGGGGTAAGAGGCGTCAGAGTTGAGGGTTGTAATGAACTGTCCATTCTTCACGCAATGTATTTCCGTTTCGCGGGCACAAACATCAGGGAATGGGACCATATATCATAGAAATATAATTGTAAAATTGTAAAATGAAATCGCTTGCGGTTTAGCTTTCAAATACTATAATAATTAAATGAAGCTTTGTGCAAAACTCTTTTTAGTTGATGATTGACTCATTCTGAAAATTCGGGTGACAAAAGAAAATTTTCAGACCAATAGCCTCAGGCCCCCCCCCCTCCCCCAACTGAGATTGACTCCCTACGCCTATGACCCTAGCTGTTATTTGTGTGTCCAAATATTACAAATCTTGGCATGATAAAATGATTGTGCACAGATTCATAAAGATTATGATGAAACTATCAAGTGTGAACATCTATCAAAAGCTGCAAGGAACATGGGCAGTGATGTAGTGCTATAAAAATAAGTTAGGGAAAGCATTTTGAGAAAGAGAAAGAGAGAAATGGGGTTTAACGTTCACTCTACACACACTAGGTCATTTTGGGACTAACTTATGGTTCATTGTTATTTAAATAATTTGCTTGCGCATAGGGGTCTTTAGCAGTGGCAGGAAACCCTTGAGGTTGGGCATACGACCCAACTGTTTGTCATGGACAATCGAAACCAAGGCACTCGCATCAATGACACACCTTTTGGTTTGACGTGCATGTGTTAATCAACTAGACCACTCTACTCTACACAAACTGACAATTTTATTTGTAAGTTTGGAGGGAGCCACGATAGCTAAGTTGGTAAGACGCTGGATCTCTAGTCTGGAGGTCGGTGTTCAATCCCTGCAGGATTTTCCGACATGGTTTCCCCTTGTCAGTGGTACAGAACAGAGGGCCTGACAAGGACAGCTGTCTAGTCATTCGGAAGGGACCAAAAAAACGAGGACCCGTGTATACATTGGCGTGCATGTAAAATATCCATTGGCAGTTGGAATTTGATATAAGAGTAGACTCTGGCAAAACTTCCCTCATAGCACTCTGCATTGTGTATGTCCATCTTTATTAGCCCAGTAGGAGCAGAACAGTAGGACATTAAACCCCATTTCATTTTATTTTTGTAAGTTTTGATTTGGACTTGAAATAATGATGAAACACCATTCCCATGCCTTCTCACAGCACTACCCCACTGGCCATTTATCAATAACGATTATTTATTTGCGGATCAGGTTATGATGAAATGTGGGGGGGGGGGATGGCCGAATGGTTAGGACATGCGCGCTGTATCATAAGAGCCTTTCATTGAGTCAACTGGCGTAGTTTCGAATACCCGGTTGTACGTGACAAGGAGTAGGGTTGCCTGTCCAACCTCATGGGTTTTCTTGGGGTCCTACAGTTTCCTCCCACTGCTAAAGGCCCCTATGCGCAAGCGAATTATTGAAATAAAATTAAACCATATGTTAGTCCCAAAATGACCTAGTCTCTGTCGAGTGCACGTTAAACACCATTTCTCTCTCTCTCCCTATGATGAAATGTTGTGTTAAGTCAACTATACAAAATACAACCTCACTTGTATAGGTAGCCGAGTGAATAATTATTGAGATTAGCAACATCTGGACCAAATATTAAGGATTTATCTAGTATAAAAAACCCATTTACAACATTTTGAAGATTTTCAAAATCCTTAGTTAAAATTTCACCTGTGATGTTCGGATTGCTATACTCTATTTCTGGAAATACAATTCAAGAAAATAGTTTAATTGTTTATGCTAGGTGCCTACTATCAAGAATCATGCAATGATTAAAATCGTGGTTTTAATCGTGAAGTAATCGTATATTGTGATCAGACGTGGCAATCGTGTTGATCGTATCGAAACGTATACGAATGAATCTTCACGTACCAGATCGTAGACTCAATAGGGATAATCCTATCGTAACGCATTGCACCTAGCATTACTGTTGTATAGCCATATATCAGTTCTAAGCATGCATTATGGTGGTCTGTATCCTATTAAGGATACATGACTTATCTCCCTTACGTATTGCCTGTTGTAAGACTTAATAATTTATATGATTAGGAGTGAGCTCCCCTGATAAAATGCCTATGATAAAGTCTTTGTTTCTATGATCAATCTTCTCTGATGAAAATATAATAATTATAGTCAACTTGACAGCACACAACAAGCCTGACACAACATTACCAATGCGAAATAAAATGAAATGAAATGGGGTTTAACGTCCTACTGTTCTGCTCCTATGCTGGGCTAATGAAGACGGGCATACGCCATACAGTGTGCTATGAGGGAAATTTTACCCGGGCAGCGGCACTATCGCCTACTCTTATATCGAATTCCAACTGCCAAGGGATCTTTTACGTACACTCCAATTTATACACGGGACCTCGGTTTTCCATCTCATCCGAAGGACTAGACAGCTGTTCTTGTCATGCCCTCCGTCCTGCATCACTGACAAGGGGGAACCACGCCGGAAAATCTGGATGAACTTTCGCGGCCAATGCAAGGATCGAACATCCAACCTCCAGGCTAGCGAGCCAGTGTCTTACCCACTTAGCCACGTGATCCCCCATTACCAATGCATATTATATTATATGGTGAATATAATTCAATTTTGTAAAATTGTATTTAACATCCAAACAAAACAAACAAGGTCATTTTGGGACTAACAAATAATCTTTTTAGTAATGTGCTTGTTCGCCCGGATTTTTAGCAGTGGGAAGATAGAAAATTAACACGATTTAGGCAGGCAGCTATCTCCTTTGTCAAAATTGTCATGTACAAGTTGGGATTGTCTTGATTTTAATGACAGATATTATAACCTAAAACAAGGGGTTGGATGGTAGAATGGTGTCGTATCATAAGGTCTGTCAATGAGTCAACTGCAGTGGTTTTCGATTCCTCGGTTATACGTGACAAGGAGTAGCATCATCTGTCCAACCTCGTAGGTTTTCTCCGGGTCCTCGGTTTCCTCCCACTGCTAAAGACCCCCACGTGGACGCAAAATAACCTAGTCTCAAAATAATTATGTTTTATTATACAATAAATAGTTTGGAGTTATGAAATTTGATCGCTTTTCAATCAGAAATTGTGAAACAATACATTATCGTCCCAAAGCCGAACAACATTAAAGGTCGCCGGAAAAGCTTCATAAATTTTTATTGAATAATGCAAGTAATTATGTCAACATATCCTTTCCATAAGTATAACACAAACCCGAATGTCAATATTACCTGCAACAGGTAAACTTCAATGTTAGTAATTTCGGCCGTTCTCCAGAGATAGTCATAATTTTCCATCAATAAACAATCTGTGACGTCATTTTAGTCCTTCTGCTCATATTCTAGTCTATATTTCTGTGAGCAGAACAATCACGGATTGTTTATTGACGGAACATTGAAATTTAGCTATTGTGGGTAAATTTGACAATCAGGTTTGTGTTATACTTATGGAAATGATACAGGTTGCACATGCTAACCATTCGGCCATCCAAACCCCCAACTTATTTTTTGATATACACCAACATTTACATTGTATAATATGATATAAATTTCTTTAAAAAAAAAACTCACCATTTCCTAATTCGTAACCAGCAGGTTTGTAGCCTTTAAGTACTGTGTATCTTAGAAGTTCCTTCGCATTAGTTGGGTCCCATTGGCCATTTTTACGTAGAAAAACATTAAAATCAAAAATCAGACTCCAACCAACATCCTGTGTAAACAGATTTAATTTGTCCCAGTCTTCAGCTGTAAACAAAGGGAAAGGGAATTAAAGAGGCATTATGGGAGATTAGATAACGAGCTGGCGGTTCTCACTATAATAGTTAAAAACTAGATAATGTAAAGACAATTTGCTGAAAATTTCAGTCAAATTGGTCTACTAAGAACCAAGATTTTAGTGATTAAATTTTCGGCCTAGCCTCAATTATCATTACTAAAGTCGGTAGGATAAAAAACATCTCGATTATCCATTTCATGATTTAATTACGAATGGAAGTCAAACAGCAAATTGGAACCTAATCCAATAAACATTGCAGGCTAGCAATGCCATCCAGAGTTGACTATGGTCTTGTCATGTTAATTAATGTCTAATTAATAATTTAGATAACTTTTCAGGCTTAAAGAAAGACCTGCAATAGGCAGATTTAGCTCTTGCATAATGTATGTTTAATGAATCAAACATTTGTTCTGCAATTATCCCGTCTATAAACGTTGGTAGATGGTGGTACAAGAGTTCAATTGAATTCGTGTGTGAAAAAAATTGACACATGATACATGTATATAAAAAGGTTGGTCACTACGTCTAAGCAGAGGTGAAATGAAATGGGGCTTAACGTCCTACTGTTCTGCTCCGAACTAGGCTAATGAAGACAGCATACGCCATACAGTGTGCTATGAGGGACATTTTCCCCAGACAGCGGCGCTACGGCTTACTCTTATATCAAATTCCAACTGTCAAGGGATCTATTACATGCACGCCAATGTGTACACGGGATCTCGGTTTTTCGTCCCATCCGAACGACTAGACAGCTGTCCTTGTCAGGCCCTCCGTCGTGCATCACTGACAAGGGGGAACCACGAACACCCGACCTCCAGGCTAGCGAGCCAGCGTCTTACCCACTTAGCCACGTGATCCCCACTGCGTCTAAGAATTCACCAAGTACTTGGTATACAATACATATAATACTTACGCGTCATAGTAAAATTAATCCCGGTTTTGTCTAATTCATCTTCGACAACATATTGTGCTTGTGGTTTATACCTGAGGGTTCTGTCTTCAGTCATATTAAAGATCAGGAAATCACAATCGGTACCTCCAACACGTATATATGACGGAGCTAGTCCTCTGGCCAGGGTCAGCATTTTTTGGGACCTAAAAATTGAAGTGATATCCAATATGAATCATCAGAGCTCGGCCCGATTTTGTGGCGACATGACCGATGTGATTACCAAATCTGGTTAATAAAACATCACACAATTCATAAGGAGAAGAAATTGAAACCTGTCTAACTATAAAATTTGTCTCTTCAGCATGCCCTAATCAAACAGAGAGAGAGAGAGAGAGAGAGAGAGAGAGAGATGGGTTTAACGTCCACTTGACACAAACTAGGGAGGACCCGGAGAAAACCCACAAGGTTCAACAGACCACCCTACTGCTTGTCATGTACAACCAGGGTATCGAAACCAGGCTAGTTGACTCAATGACAGACTTTATGATACAACGCGCATGCGCTAATTTGGTCATCCAGCCCTCCATCTGAGTTAGGCCGATGGGGCCAAGCAATTTTATGGCAATACTAGCAGGATACCTGGCTTTGCTCGGGGGTCATAACTCCGAAACCAGAAGTGGTAGACTAACGCCACCTGCCCTATACCCCAAATTTCAGACTCGGGGCAGACCTAGTGTAGTCGCCAACCCCGAAACGGACAGACTTTGCTAGGGGGTCATAACTCCGAAACAGGAAGTGGTAGACTAACGCCACCAGGCCTATGTTACTCCCAGGTCCGAGCTACCCCTATACCCCAAATTTCAGACTCGGGGCAGACCTAGTGTAGCCGCCAACCCCGAACAGACCGGCTTCGCTCGGGGGTCATAACTCAGAAACCGGAAGTGGTAGACTAACGCCACCTGGCCTATGTTACTCCCCGGTCCGAGCTACCCCTATACCCCAAATTTCAGACTCGGGGCAGACCTAGTGTAGCTGCCAACCCCGAACAGACAGACAGACAGACAGACAAACGACAGTCACAAATATATATATAGAAGATGACTGATGTGATTACCAAATCTGGTTAAAAAAACATCACACAATTTATAAGGAAAGGAAATTGAAATCTAACAATAAAATTTGTCTCTAGTGTGCCCTAACCACACACCAAAGCAACGAAGCAACTGAACAAACAAATCTGAATTAGCAAATTTATCAATTCAATCAAAAATTCTTCAAAGGGTTTTGAAGAAGGCGTTTAGGCACAGATGACAAGTAGAGAAGGAATAGGCCTTGCTAGATACCAACATATGTCTGCCACTGCCATTATCTCACACTGTATGGATGGCACACTGTATCATAGGGCTGTCATTGAGTCAACTGGCGTGGTTTCGATTCCCCAGTTGTTAGTGATAAGGAGTAGGGTCGCCTGTACAATCTTTTGGGTTTTCTCCAGGTCCTCCGGTTGCCTTCCACTGCTAAAGACCCATATGCGAAAGCGAATTATTGAAATAAAACTGAACTATATGTTAGTCCCAAAATGACCTAGTTTGTGTCAAGTGGATGTTGAACCCTATTTCTCTCTCTTTCTCTATCTCTTAGGACAAAAAAAACAGTTGAACCTACGAAAAATCCATTGTCATCCATCTATTACGTATAACACTAGAGTCGATGGTAACACCCACAAACAGTGAACTAACAACTTGTGAAAGTTTGGCAAATTCTAAATCCACCATGAGACAGGAAACAAATTTACAAATGGTGAAAAATAAGACCATTAAATTTAACAACACCATCTTGCTGTTATTAAGGAAAACACTTAACTTATCAAATTACCAAATGACCCTGTGATTACATGTATACCGAATAACAAAAGAAACGACAAACGATTTAAGCAAAGTTGAATAAAAACAGATTAAAGGTGCACTGTATAAGAGCTAATTCTGGCAGAGAGAGAGAGAGAGAGAGAGAGATTAATGGGGCTAAACATTCACTCAACACAAATTAGGTCATTTTGGGACTAACATATGGTTCAATTTTATTTCAATAATTCCATTGCGGGTAGGGGTCTAATCCGATAGAAGCCAAGACTGGATATTAATCTACTGTTCATAATTTGAACTTAATTAAGCAATCAATTTGAGTATATTTAAGGAATGATATCAATGGGAGCAGGAATTGATACTAATGAATGATATCAATAGGAGCATGATATTGATGAATGATATCAATGGGAGCATGATATTAATAAATGATATCAATAGGAGCATGATGTTAATGGATATCGATGGAAGCATGATATTAATAAATGATATCAATAGGAGCATGATATTAATGAATGATATCAATGGGAGCATAATACTAATGAATGATATCGATGGGAGCATGATATTAATGAATGATATCAATAGGAGCATGATATTAATGAATGATATCAATGGGAGCATAATACTAATGAATGATATCGATGGGAGCATGATATTAATGAATGATATCAATATGAGCATGATATTGATGAATGATATCAATGGGCGCATGATATTAATAAATGATATCAATAGGAGCATGATATTAATGAATGATATCAATGGGAGCATAATACTAATGAATGATATCAATGGGAGCATGATATTAATGAATGATATCAATAGGAGCATGATATTGATGAATGATATCAATAGGAGCATGATATTAATGAATGATATCAATGGGCGCATGATATTAAAGAATGATATCAATGGGAGCATGAAATTAGTTATTGATTCAATGAAATTAATAAATGATACTAACTAGAGCATGGAATTGCTGGGCTGATTGCAACCCATCACCATTTGATGTATTACAATATGCATGTTGGCCTGGTTACCCAGTAAATCAGTGTAATGTTATTGTATGGCTACCTTAACACCATTACCAGATAAACTGAATGTTTGGTTTTTTTTCATTTGGGAGGGTGGGTGGTCGAATGGTTAGCAGTGCGTGCTGTATCATAAGGTCTGTCATTGAGTCAACTGGCATGGTTTCGAATCCCCGGTTTTATTTGACAAATGTAGGGTCGCGTGTTCAACCTCATGGTTTTCTCCGGGTCCTCCGGTTTCCTCCCACTACTAAAGACCCCTATGCGCAAGCGAATTATTGAAATAAAACTGAAACAGATGTTAGTCCCAAAATGACCTAGTTTGTGTCCAGTGGACATTAATCTCTCTCTCTCTCTCTCTCTCTTTTCTCTCTTACAACATTATCAGAATATTCTATTTTCTGTTGGCAATAAATAATTTCTGAGTCTCCCACCACAGCGGTGTGACTTTTGTCGTTCAGTATAGGCCTACATGTATATTTCACAAAATCAAGTTAATATTAAATATATTGATAAATATTAATAGATAACATATCTAAAGCATATCACAAGGTTAAATTTTATATGTGTATCAATTCCATACCACACATCCATGTTTGCTTTTGAGCGGTGGTGGGGTGTGAGTGGCCGAATGGTTAGCATGTGCATGCTGTATCATAAGGTCTGTCATTGAGTCAACTGGCGTGGTTTTGATTCCCTGTTTGTACGTGACAAGGAGTAGGGTCGCCTGTCCAACCTCGTGGGTTTTCTACGGGTCCTGCGGTTTCCTCCCACTGCTAAAAACCCCTACGCGCAAGCAAATTTTTGAAATAAAAAATTAAACCATATGATAGTTACGAAATGACCTAGTTTGCACCCACTGGCAAATCATAATTAGCAGTGGGAGGAAAGCGGAGGACCCGGAGAAAACTCACAATGTTTGACACTCAACCCTACTCCTAGTTCGCCAAGTCGGTTAGAAGACGGAGACGTAAATTTTTTAACAGCGTGTTGTGTCGCTCATACTGACTCTAGCGAGGTAAGCAAGGTCTTATTTTCTCACTTAGATGTTCATTTATATTGTTTAGGCGTTCACAGGGACTGACACGCGACCGTTTAGCAGTAAAAAGTTGCCCAGTAAAATTGACTGGGAAACAAAATCTTGTCGACAAGGTTTCAATAGAAGAGTCCCTGAACGTAGAGGCCGAGTGTAATGAGACCTACGTTCAGAGCTGAACTACCCTACTCCTCTCCTAGTCATGTACAAGCTAGCAAACGAAACCACGCCAGTTGACTCCACGACAGGCGTTATGATCTAAAGCGCTGGCATTATACCATTCGTATGATGCACCCTCTCCCTCCAGCTTGTCCCCTCCACATTTTGGATCTGGAAAATACATCCTAAAGTCTGTCACTGAGCTGAGTGGCTTGGTTTCAATTCCCCAGCTGTACATGACTCAACAACAGACCATATAATCTCAAGCATGGGCATTTTACCATTCATTCTCCACCCCCACCCCCACCCCCCAGTACTGTAGCAGAACAGTATGTTGCACCCTGTCCAGCTTGTCAACGCCATGTATCTGGTGATACTTACCCAAAATCAAAATGTTTGAATTTACGTTTGATTAGACCACAACCTAAAGCTACGCCTATAAATTTGTCACCTACAACGTTGATTACTGATGAACGGTGGAATGATACAGTGACAAGTCTATTATTAACATTATATTGATGCTTGATGTAGACTTCCAGAAGAAATAATTGAATTTGTTGAAGTATAAGTAATCCTAGTCCAAGCAAGGTAAGAAAAAACAGGGGGCGGATGACTTCCATCTTTTAATATTCACACTGACACTGACTGTATTAAAATTCGCCCATTCAAGCGTTCTGTTCCGTTCTATTAATTAATCCATTGACGGTTCAGCCTGATCCACAATCACAATTTAGACTAAACCTATTTACATTATTTTCCACGGCACAAGCCTGTGCATTTCAAAGGCTAGAAACGGAACTGTCAAACCATTTTCTTGTCGTTACATTATAACCATCGTTTCATCAAAGGATCCTCCAAATCAATTTCATGCAAATTTTGATTTGAAGTGAAAAGGATATTTGTTAACTACATCGACCTCTCTGCACTGCTTCCTGACACCAGATGGCTACCTTCGGGCGTGGTTTTCGTTGACTTTTGCGAGCCGGTGTGGCGTGGTGAGTTTGGCCCCATTGCTCCTAGGCAAGAAACCACCTAATCGTTCAGATGGTTCGTAAAAGAACGGGTCCATAGGTTTACCCCCCACCCTAAAGAATAACCTTCATTTGATATTTTTCTGTTTAGATGAAATGTATGTCTTGTAATTATTAATTTCAGTATTCTTTTGTGGTAAGCAGTCATAATTGAGGGCCCCACAGCGACTCTGGGCGTAAGAAGCTCGCTAACCTGGAGATTCCGTGTTAGTTTAAACAATATTTTATTCAATAAACTGAATTGGATTGAACTACAGACAATTAAGATTTAGGCTATATAAGTTCGATCCCTGCCTTGGCCAGGAAGTTCATCTGGGTTTTCCGTCGCTGTTCCCACTGTTCAGTGGTACAGAAAAAAAAATTGGACGAAAAAAGAGGTTCCGTGTACACATTGGCGTGCACGTAAAAGATCCCTTGACAGTTGGAATCCGATATAAGAGTAGGTCGTAGCGCCGTTGTCTGGGCAAATTTTCCCTCATAGAACACTGTATGGCGCATGCCCGTCTTCATTAGCCCAGTCGGAGGAGAACAGTCTTCAATTCAATAATTCGCTTGTGCGTATAGGGATCAATACAGTTGGGGGCGGGGCGTGGGGAGGACCCACAGAAAAGCCACGAGGTTGGACAGGCGGTCCAACTCCTTGTCATGGCAAGAGTGAACCAAAACAAGGCCACTTGACTCACAGACAGACCTTATGATTTAAAGCGCACCCTTTGGACCATTCCCCCACCCATCTCCAGATCATCTCAGATAGACTAAATAGTCCGATTCGGTTTGTTACATAATTCCCATCCGTCGGCTTTTCGGGTAGAAATCGCGGAATAAGCTTTATTTTGTAGGTTTTGATGTTTAATGACAAAAAAACAATGTTGACATTTTTTCTGAGTAGGTCTTCATAGTATGGGAGGCCATTTTTTGAGGGTAACCATTTTGCGATAATATTCCAACTTACTTTTTTATTTACACTTTATTTATAATGTTATCAACATATCAACTGTCATTTAGCAATGTATGAATATTGGCAGGGGTCGTGACTATATTTCAGATATTTTCCCATCATTTCACGAAGTTATTTCCAAGATGGCGACCATTTTTGGCAGGAAAATAAAATCGGACCTTGTGCTGATTTCGATCAAGTTAATTCCTTTGGATTTAAGCCAGTCGAGTTTCTATTTGTCAGTGGTGCAGGATGGATGGCCTGGCAAGACCCGTGTTGTTGAAGCACTATAGAGAGAGAGAGAAATGGGGTTTAACGTCCACTCGACACAAACTAGGTCATTTCGGGACTAACATATGGTTTAATTTTATTTCAATAATTCGCTTGCGCGTAGGGGTCTTTAGCAGTGGGAGGAAACCGGAGAACCCGGAGAAAACCGGGTTGGACAGGCGACCCTACTCCTTCGAAACTACGCCAGTTGACTCAATGACACAGCACGCACGTGCTAACCATTCGGCCAACATTTTTTCTTTCCTCGTGCCCGTCTTCATTATCCCGGTTGGTGAAGAAACGTAGGTCCTTGAACTTCATTTCATTTCACTTTATACGGCATGCTTTTGTCGATAGGGGGGTTGGATAGCCGAATGGTGAGCACGTGCGCGCTGTATCTTATGGGTGTGTCATTCAGTCAACTGGCGGGTGTGTGAAATAGCTTTATTTAACGTCCACTTCCACTGAGGTGATATCGCAGACAATCAACTGGCGGGGTTTCGATTCCCCGGTTGTACGTGACAAAAAGTAAGGTCGCCTGTCAAACCTCGTGGGGTTTCTCCGGGTCCTCCGGTTTCCTCCCACTGCTAAAGAACCCTACGTGCAAGCGAATTATTGAAATAAAATTGAACCATGTGTTAGTCCCGAAATGACCTAGTTTGTGTCGAGTGGACGTTAAAGGTCATTCTCTCTCTCGCTTTTGTTGATAATATTTCAAAGATATGAAAGTACACCTTTTCTAACCTTTTTCCGATAGGGTGCCAAAATCACACGAATTCAAAAGAGTTTGCTTCATCGCTAATGGAAGAAACAGCACATCACATCAACTCAATTCATATCACATAGATTTAACTTCTTTATTATCCAAAACAAAAATTTACAACTTTATGTTTCGGGCCATCGGATTAGACTTTTATTCTGGAAAACTATCGACAGCTTTTAATAGTGGAGTCGACATAATTCACTGAGAGACAGCAGCAAAATGTTAACACTTGCGTTCAAACGAATAACCCGCGTATATATCTTGACCCACCCGCCTACCTGCCAATCAGCACCGACAGGGTAAGATAATGTTGACGTATTTCCGGTCATGATTCACCACTTTCTATCCGCGGTGTCGTTTTACCTTAAGCCTAGTTTACAATCCTTCGTACGAGCTGTCTTGGGGGGGGGGGGGGGGTAGTCAAGCCGTGCGTGAGACTATCGCGAACTTGTGTATGTCCGGCACCGTAGAAGATCGCAGATTGGCCGTGGAGAATATTGGCCCTGCCGGTTTCTTGCGGCTGGTCTGCGAGCTACTAAACTCTACGACCTGTGTGTGCCAAAAACACGTACGGCGGGGCTAAATCTATTTGTTAAGGCCAGCTCAATTTTCGTCAAGGTCGCTGAGATGTAAATAATATTAGGGTACGTGATTGTTGACGAGGTTGTAGGTTAGGTTTACTCCCTAGGGGTTAAATATATTTGTTAAGTCCAGCTCAATTTTCATCAAGGTCGCTGAGATGTAAATAAGGTTAGGGCACGTGATTGTAAGTTAGGGGTAGGGTAAGCATTGGGACTAGGTCCGGGGTTAGGTTTAGGATTAGCGCTAGCCATGTCTACATCTCGTGACCTTTGACCAAACCTGAAGTAGGCCTTATCAAATAGATCTAACACGTACGGCAGGTTCTGAGCTAGGCTTTAAGCACCCAGGTTATTCGATTGGACGCAACTGTTAAAATTTTGCGATGGTCCCTATATGACTAAACACATTCGATTCTCATAGCACTAGGGTAAACAACATATCCCATGTTATAGGCTTCCACTTGAATGTGACCTTGACCGACCACATGTTCTAGGGGAGGTAACTCATTCTCATTTGTCAAAGCTAGAACAACTCCGTTCAGTTTTATTGATCTGAAACAATAAGAAGATTTTATTTATGTTTTATAATTTTGTCTTTGGAGTTGACACGTGTATCAGAATAACTTTCGTCGTGCTCCCCGTTTCGCAAAATCTTTTGAAATCCTAATAAAAACTATCGATAATACAATGACCAATATTGTTTTAATAATGGCTCCCCAATATCCTGACAAACTATTGTTGTTTCAATGATGCCAACCTGTTGGGATTGCGGGGGGGGGGGGCAGCTTTTGAAGACAAGTGTCAGCCAAACAAAACAACCGCAGGACCAAAATTCGCGAGAGAAGCAGGTGAAACAGGGCCGAAGGCCTTGAATATTTGTGCTATAAACTAGTATAAACCCTATAAAATTTTGCAATCTGAAACCCGTTTTGCCGTTAAACCTTAGCGATTACTAGCAGCATGCCTTTAAGGCCTAGAGAACAAACGAAAGCCCCAAGAGATGTTTGCAGCATTGGGCGCATTTCGTTCAAAATATTGTTTAAATTAATTTCCCAATAACAAGTCATATTTTGCCTTGGAAAGCTTCCTATAAGATACCACCCACAATACAATTTGCGTTACCAATTCAACCGACGAAGTGTTAAAGACCTACTTTGATGTGAGTCCACTGTCATCACCAGGTGAAAACATATAGATGTGATGTGTTTGATTCGCCACATCAGGTAAAGCTACGGTTATAGTCGTGTTACCTAGATTCATCAGATATAACGTTACACTACCTTTTGTGTAGCCCATTGAGCTGGAAAATAGATTTATAATTAGTAGTTTAGGACTTTAAACTGCTTATACTTAGCAGGTAGGGTCAAATTTCGGGATAAATGTCCATCGTTGGTGCTCTTATCGACTGGTTCATAAATGCCCAACTCCATATTCACAATTCGAATAATCCAGAGAAGAATGCTGATGATTGATTTTTTATTATTATTGTTGAAGGTATACCTGTTTTGCACCTCCAATCCAGGGTATCATCATTTCAGACACTACAACCCCCAACACAGTCCTCCATAATTCAATGACGCACATGTCTTCGTAAAAGCGTGTGGCTATCGGAGTTCACCGAGGACACCTATTGAGTTAGGCCAGTGACTCTCAACCAGTGTGCCTCGGCACACAGGTGCGCCGCGAGTTCTTCCTAAGTGTGTCGCGAAATTTTCAACGGTACACTAAGAAAATGCGAAAAATCACTCCCAATTTGAGTATTCACGCCTAGAAAGTTCATTTGGATTTTCCGAGGTGGTTTGCCCTTGTCAGTGGTGCAGAACGGAGGGCCTGACAAGGACAGCTGTTTAGTCCTTCGGATGATACAAAAAAAACGAGGTCCCGTGTATACATTGGAATGCACATAAAAGATCCTTTGGCAGTTGGAATTCGATATAAGAGTAGGCGATAGTGCCGCTGCCCGGCCATAATTTCCCTTATAGCACACTGTATGGTGTATGCCCGTCTTCATTAGCCCAGTATAGGAGCACAACAGTAGGGCGTTAAACCCCATTTCATTTTGAGTATTCACCGGTGTCTACTGGTAACTTCATAGCTGTGTTTTTCTTTATTTAGTTTGAGTCTATGACTAGTCTGTGTCTACGGTTGTATGCCGTCTATGACTTGTCATGTTTTTATTTTGCAAAATTCAAATATTTTTCATATATTTTTAGTCAGGTGTGCAGCTATTTTTTTCATGTTCCAAGGTGTGCCGTTGGCAAAAAAGGTTCAGAACCACTGGGTTAGGCAGACCACCACCCGTCGTGTTCGAGTCTGGTAACAAAAATAGCATTCCTTAAAATCTGCAGGCATTAGATCAACAACTCGGC